CTTGTGTTCTTGGCTAATGTCCCATACCCCGCCTCCTCTTAAGTGAAGAAGAGGATTCTGGTTCCTGTCCCTTAAGTGCCAGACGCCTAATTCCTTATCTAACTGAAGACTATTGTAGAAGCATTATGGGCTCAATGGTGTCCCTGTGCAGGAGGCCCTGACCACCAGCACCTCAGCGTGGGACTTGTTTGGAGACAGGATCTTTGTAGAGACAAGTTGAAGTGAGGTCATCAGGGTGGGTCCCACCTCTAGATCTCTGGTGTCCTCATAAAATGGAAACTGGGGCACAGAGACCTGTGGACAAAGGGAAGATGATGTGAAGAAACACAGACAGGAGGTGGACATCTCCCAGCCAAGGCCTGGACCCATCCCCCAGCCCCAGCAGGACCCAGCTCTTGGGTCCTTGATGCTGGGTTTCTAGCGACTGAGGCTGTTGCTTTCTGTCTAAGCTGCTTGGTTTGTGGCACTTTGTGACAGCAGCTAGAGCAGATGTGCAGGAGGCCGTGCTGTTGTTCATGCTCCCTCTTTCCAATTTTTTTTTTTCAAATTTTGGCGCTGGAGAGATGGCACTGGCTGCTCTTTGGTTCCCAGCACCCACATAGTGGCTAACAACCATCCTTAATGCCAGTTTCAGAGACTCCAGTGCCGTCTTCTGACCTCTGCAGGCATGGCACACATTTGGTGCACTTACATACATGGAATTTTATGCACATAAAATAATTTTTTTTTTTTTTGGTCTTTTTGAGACAGGGTCTCCCTGTGTCCCCAGCTGTCCTGGAACTCACTGTGTAGACCAGGCTGGCCTTGAACTTACAGACATCCGCCTGCCTCTGCCTCCCAAGTGCTGGGATTAAAGGCATTTGCCACCATGCCCGGCTAATAATTTATTTTTTAAAAACATGGACTGCTCCATGAATTTGCATATCATCCTTGCACAGGGGCCATGCTAACCTCTGTATCATCCCAATTTAGGATATGTGCTGCTGAAGGGAGTGTGAATCCCCCTTTCCTTTTTTTTTTTTTTTCCAAAGGACGGATCTCATTTAGCCCAGGCTGGCCTTGAATTCACTATGTAGCTGAGTATAACTTTGAACTTTTGTTGTTGTTATTACTACTACTACTACTACTACTACTACTACTACTACTACTACTACTATTGAGACATGGTCTTACTATGTAGCCCTGGCTAGCCTGGAACATGCTACGTGGCCAGGGCTGGCTTGAACACACGGGGATCCACCTGCCTCTGCCTTCCAAGTGCTAGGATTAAAGTCGTGCATTGCCACACCTGGCTGATGTTGAGCTTCTGAAGCTTCTGCCTTCATCTCCTGATGGTGTTCGAGGTATGTGCTCTCTACACCCACTTTATGCGGAGCTGGGGATCAAACCTGGAGCTTTGTGCCAGGCAAGCACACTACCAACTCAGCTACAGCCCCAGCCTGCAGGACACCCCCCCCCCAAATCAATAGAAGTCTTTTATTGTGCCAAAAGAGTTCCTCGAATCCAGGGTCTTGTTTCTGGAGCTCGATGACTGAGCTCTTACTCATCAGCCTGCTGCACTGTTCCTTTTTTAGAAATGTAGATACCACCCCAAAATTTCCTATATCCTTGTTTTAAACTGTTGTGGCTTGCTGAATCAAAGCTGCTGAGTTTGAAACAAGTTCAATATCATTCCCTCCAAGGATTAATGCATCCTTCTGGGCTGGGGAAACAGGACAAGCAACACCTGTCCTCATCTGAAACCCTGCGGATGTATTTTTCACCCAAGAAATTTCGGATTTCAGGGAGAGACCCGTTTTCCTGAATGACACCGTTGGTGGGGAAGTGAGCATGCACAGACCTCATCTTGTAACGGAAGCCCAGTGTAACACACTTGATTGTGTTCTTGATCATGCGGCTACAGAGAGTTTGTACAGTGCCCAGTTCCTTTCTGTTCCCCCATTTGTCAACTCACAGCCTCTTCTTTCCCAGGAGACCGAGTTCTACGTTGATGTGCTTGAAGTTCCTCCGGAGGGTTCCCCTCGGGCCCTTCTCAATAACTGTGCATCCCTTCAGGGTGATGTTGACATTTTCTGGAATGTCGACAGTCTGATTACTGAGTATGGTCTTCGTCCTCTCTGTCGATGGGGCGAAGAGCACAGTCCTCTCCTTCCTCTCCTTATAGACGAACCTGAGGCTCAGGTCTGCCAGTGTCTTGTCATTGTACAGGTGACATGATAGTCTTCGCTTTGGGCACTGCACATATAGCTGCTCCACAGTCAGCCTCACCTGAGTGGCAGGTTCCTGAAGGCAGCTCTCCACAGGCGCATGCCTGTGGCCAGGTGTGTCGTGGGGCCGCCATAACAAAGTTTCCTCACCAGAAATGGATCTCACAGCTCTGGAGGCTGAAGTCAAGGACTGCACTCTCTGAGACTGGACTGAACCCTTTCTCCTCTACTGCCACCCATGCAGGTTGCAGGTGTTTCTGTGTCCGAATGCCCCACTCCCCCACCTTTTTTTGAGACAGGGTCTCCCTAGTAGCCCCAGCTGGCCTTTAACTTGCTATGTGGATCAGGGTGGCCTGGATTTCAGAGAGATTCACCTGCCTCTGCCTTCTGTGTGCTGGGATTAAAGGTGTGCATCACCATGCCTGGCCCCCAATTCCTTTTCTATTAGGACACCAGAGATGCTGAGTTGGGACCCACCCTAGTGACCTTACTTTATTTTCTTAATTAAATTAATTAATTAATTAATTAATTTATAGACAGGGGAGACCTGTAGCCACAGCTGGCTTAAAACTATGTACACCAGGCTGGCCTCAATTTCATAGAGATCTGCCTGCCTCTGCTTCCTGAGTGCTGGGACCAAGGGAACACACTACCATGAAGGCTATTTATTTATTTGTGTGTGTGTGTGTGTGTGTGTGTGGTCAAGAGGACAACTTTCTGGAACTGGTTTTCTCTTTCTACCAAGTGGGATTGAATGCAGGTCATCAGGCATGGTTTCAAGTGCCTATTTATTATTTTCAAAAATTTACTTTTAACTATGTGTCTGTGTGTGTCTCTGAGAGTGTATGTCATGTGTGTATGTTCCTGTAGAGGCCAGAAGAAGGTGTTGCATCCCTGGAGCTAGAGTTGGTAGTTGTGAGCTGCCCAGCATGGGTGTTGGGAACACACTGGGGTCTTTTGGAAGAGCAGTGAGCATTCTCAACTGCCGAGCCATCTCTCTAGCCCCAAATATTATCATTAATTTTTATTTATTTTATTTTTTAAAATAATTTGGGAATTGTGTAGTTTATTTTTTTTAATTTTTAAAAATTTTATTTATTTTTTATGTATATGCGTGTATTGCCTGCATGTAGGTAAGTACACCCATGTTGTGCAATGCCCACGGAAGTCAGAAGAGGCTGTCATAAGAGGCTATCAGATCCCCTGGGACTGGAGTTATGGAGAGTTGTTAGCTGCCATGTGGGTGCTGGGATTCGAACCCAGGTCTTCTGCAAGAACAACCAGTGTTCTTAACTGCTGCACCATCTCTCCAGCCCCCCATTAATTTTTATTTTTTAAGATTTATTTTTAAAACTATATGTGTCATTGTGTGTATATATGAACGTGAGTCCAGGTGCTGGGGAGGCTGGAGGTGTTGGATCCTCTGGAGCTGAAGTTACAGGCAGTTGTGAGCCACCCAGCATGGATGCTGGGAACCCACCTTTGGTCTTCTGCAAGAGAAGTATGGCAGTCTTAACCCCTGAGCCATCTTGCCAGCATCTATTTAAAAATTTTTTTTGAGACAAGATTCTCTAGCCCAGGTTGGCCTCAAACTCCCTATGTAGCCCGAGGATGACTTACACAACTTGTTTTTGTTTTTGTTTTGAGACAGGGAGTCTGTGTAGCCCCAGCTGGCCTGGAATTCACTATGTAGACCAGGCTGGCCTCAATCTCAGAGATCCACCTGTCTCTGCCTCCTGAGTGCTGGGATTAAAGATGTGCACCACCATGCCTGGCTCTTTTCTTTTCTTTCTTTCTTTCTTTTTTTCTTTTTTTTTTTTGAGATAGAACCTTACTGTGTAATTGTGGCTGGCCTGGAACTTGCTATGTAGACCAGGCTGGCCTCAAATTCACAGAGAGTCATCTGTCTCTGCCTCTTGAGTGCTCTGCCACACCTGGCTGACCTGAAACTTCTGATCCTCTTACCTCTACCTCCTGAACGCTTGGATTTTAGGCACTGCATCTACACCCAGTTTATGTGGTGCTGGGGATGAACCCCAGAGTGTGGTGCATACTAAGTAAGTACTCTACCAACTAAGTTACATCTCCAGCCCCAGTGACCTCACTTTGACTTGATGACCTCTGTATAGGTCTACCTCCCATCAGGGGCCAGGCTCAGTTCGTGGTTGTGGGAGTGTGAGTGGAGACTGCTCACATCATGGTCGACCAGTAAGCAGAGGGAGTGGAACTAGAATGCAAGATGCTTCTATAACCTCCAAAGGCTCTCCTGGCGACTTCCTAGCCAGCATCCTTCATGCTAGAGGCCTCCTCTTGCCAACAGCCCTTCTCCCTGTGTGCTTCGCCTGGCTCTTCTCCCTTGGAGGAGAATGCTAGTCTTGTTGCATTAAGACCCATCCTATGATTTTAAAAAATTATTTTTATTCTAAATGTATGAGTGTTTTTGCCTGCATGAATGTAAGTGTACCTGTGTTATACAATGGCCAAAGAAGCCAGATGGGGCATTGGGCCCCCTGGAACTGGAGTTAGGGGTGGTTGTTAGCTACCGTGTGGGCTCTGGGAACTGACCTGGGTCTTCTATGAGAGCAGCCAGTGCTCTTAACTGCCGAGCCAACTCTAGAGCCAACTCTCCAGCCCCACATACTGTGATCTTGACTGGATTATCACTACATAGATCCTGTTTCCCCAAGTGTCCACCTTAATAGGCTCCAGGTGAACAGGCATGTGTGTGGGACAGTGTCCCACCCTCAGGCAGGGGTAGAGTACATCTTCAGCCCTGATGTGTCTGTCTTCCAGAGGAGGAGCGAGTGGACATTCTGGTCAACAATGCGGCTGTGATGCGGTGCCCACACTGGACTACTGAGGATGGTTTCGAGATGCAGTTTGGTGTCAACCACCTAGGTGAGGTCTGGGCCGATGGCTGTGCTGTGGGTGGTTTTATCTGGCAGGAGAGTGTGTTCTCCATGGGGTGTCATGCACTCTGGGGGGGTCATTATTTATTTATTTTATTCATGTATGTCTCTGTTCCATGGACTTACATGGCTCATTGCAAAGTTGTCATTTTTTTCTCCTATTTTTAAGTGCCTTCTCCCTCCCTTCCTGTCCCTCCCTTCCTCCCTTTCTTCTTTTGTCTTTATTTTTATTTTATGTGTATGTGTGCTTTGCCTGCATGTGTGTAAGTGCACCCATGCATGTAATGCTCACAGAGGCCAGAAGAAAGCATCAGATCTCCTGGAACTGGAGTTATGAACAGTTGTCAGCTGCCACATGGGTGCTGGGAACTGAACCCAGGTCTTCTTTTTATTTTGTCTTTTTGAGACAGGCTCTCCCTGTAGCCCCAGCTGTCCTGGAGCTTACTATGTAGACCAGACTGGCCTTGAACTCAGAGATCCGCCTGCCTCTGCCTCCCCACTGCTGGGGTTAAAGGCGTGCAACACCACGCCCGGCTTGAACCCAGGTCTTCTGCAAGAGCAGCCAGTGTTAAGTGCTGAGCCATCTCTTAGCTCACACCACAATTTTAAATCTAGGTTCCACATATAAAAGAAAGCATAAGGCATTGGTCTTCATGAGTCTGGCTCATCTCACTTAAAATATCACCCAGTTCTATGCATTTTCCTTTCCTTGAGGAGTACGTATAGTGGCTTTGCATAAGTGCATCACGTTTTCTTTTCCTTTCTCTCTTCTTCTCTCCCTCTTTGCCTCCCTCCTATACTTTCTTTTAAAATTATATTTATTTGCTTTGCGTGCACACACCTGTGTGTGTATGCGTGTGCACACACCCATGTGTCATAGCATGAGTGCAGAGGTCAGAGGACAACTTGTGGGAGTCCATTCTCTCCTTCCACCATGTGGGTCCTGGGAGTCAAACCCAGGTCATCACGCTCAGGGGCAGGTGCTTTTATTTGCTGAGCTTTCTTACTGGCCCCTGCTGTCATTTTTCCTTATTTTTGTGATACAGGGTCTCATGTCAGCTTTGAACTCCGTGTGTTGCTAAGGATGACTGAACATCTGATCCTCCTGTCTTCTCCCAAGTGATGGGGTTACAGGCTGGTGCCGCTATGCCCAGGCTTTCTTTTTGGTTTGGTTTTTTAAGACAGATTTTCTTTATCCGTTCATTAGTGGACATCTAGGGTTCCAATTTTTGACCACTGTGAATACGCAGCAGTAAGGTGTCTCTATGGTCCCTCAGGTACATGCGCAGGAGTGGTACAGCTGGGCTGTACACTGATTTCTATAGCGGCCGTGCCAGTTTACATCCCACCAGCAGTGAATGAGGTTCCTCTTTGCACACGTCCCCACCAGCATTTGTTGTCATGGTGATGGCTAGTCTGACTGGGGTGAGATGGAGGCTCAAAACAGTTTTACTTTGCATTTCGCTGATGACAAAAGATGCTGAACCTTTTCAAGTATTTCTTGGCCATTTGTTAAATTTTTTTTTTTTTTGGTTTGTTTCTATTTTATGTGTGTGAGTGTTATGCCTGCATGTGTGTAAGTGCACCCATGTCATGCAGTGCCCGAGGAGGACAGAAGAGAGCATCAGATCCCCTAGAACTGGAGTCACAGACAGTTGTTAACCACCATGTGGGTGCTGGGATTCGAATCCCGGGTTTTCTGCAGGAACAGCCAGTGCTCTTAACTGCTGAGTCATCTCTCCAGCCCCTTTCTTGGCCATTTGTATTTCTTCAGTTGGAAAGTCTGTTCAGATTATGAGCCCATTTACTGACTGGATGATTTGGTTTATTTTTAAGTTTTCTTTTATTTATTGTTTTGCTGTTTACCTTTTGTAGTGCTCCCCAAGTCTTCATCCCTGACAGTGGAAAAGGGGGAAAATACAGGAAAGCTGTGAACTGGCTGCTGCTAATCTCACCACGGGAAGAAAAGAATGAGCTGGGCTTGGTGGGGCTAACCTTTGAGAGCTTGTTTGGAGGCCAGAGAGGACGTCTGAGCCCCTGGAACTGGAGTTACGGAGGGTTGTTGGCCACCATGTGGGTGCTAGAAACCAAACCCAGGTCCTCTGCAAGAGCAGTCAGTGCTCTAAACTGCTGAGCCATTTCTCTAGCTCTTGAATAAAAATAATGTTTAATAAAAAGTTCTTTTTTGCCGGGTGTGGTGCCACACTCCTTTAGTCCCAGCACTTGGGAGGCAGAGGCAGAGGCAGGCAGATCTCTGTGAGTTTGAGGCCAGCCTGGTCTACATAGTGAGTTCCAGGACAGCTGGAGCTATAGAGAGACCCTGTCTCATAAAGACAGAAAAAAAAAAAAAAGTTCTTTTTTGTTCTTTTTCATCCAGGTCACTTTCTGTTGACGAATTTGCTGTTGGACAAGCTAAAGGCCTCAGCCCCTTCACGCATCATCAACCTATCGTCCCTGGCCCACATTGCTGGGCACATAGACTTTGATGACTTGAACTGGCAGAAGAAGACGTTTGACACGAAAGCAGCCTACTGTCAGAGCAAGCTGGCTGTGGTCCTCTTTACCAAGGAGCTGAGCCGCAGGCTACAAGGTATGCAGATGGTTTCCTTCTGCCTTCCTCTCTGTATAGCTCTGCCATGATCCTGAGCTGATGATGAAAGTCCATAGTTCCAGACAGTGTCATCCAAATGGTACCTGTACCACCATGTCCCCTTCTGGTGCTGGAGACAGACATCACTAATCAATCATTGTTCTCATGATTGCCCTTTAGTCTTAGTCACCTTGCCTTTATCAGACAGTCTTTGTCTTGGACAGGCTTCTCAGTCTCTGGTGCTCTGAGCCAGTGGTTTTCAACTTGGAGTGGTTTTGGTCTCCAGGGGACGTGTATCAGTGTTTGCAGACATGACTATTACAACTGGGTTGGGGAGAAGTTGCTCCTGGGATCTAGTGTGTTGAATTTTGGGGTACTGCTCAGCATCCTGCAATATACTGAATTCCTCCCCCCCAATCCTGTCCAATATAATATATCCACAGTGCCAGGGCTGAGGAAGCCTCCCTTAGCCCTTTACTTCTCAAAAGTGGTCCATGGCCAGGAATGCCTGCCTCCCTAGGAGATGGTCACAAATACAACATCTGGGGACCACCCCCCCACTGGTCCCCTGCTTCAGACTCTGGTGGGTGTGGTTGAGTCCAGTAATGTGGTCTGTCAGGTCTCCAGGGCAGCCATGTGATAGAGCTGCTTTAGAAGAGAAAGACATAGACCCTGAGGTTTCAAAATAACAGGGATGGTGTGGGTTTCAGTGTAGGAAACAGTACAGGTTGGGGAAGACTTGGAGTATAGTGGGATGCTGGCCCTTCAGGTAAGGGGCCAACCAGGTATCTGTTCACCAGTCTGTGTATGTGTGCGTGTGTGTGTATGTCTGTGTGTATGCATGCGTGTGTGTGCATATGCATGTGTGTATGCATGCATGTGTGTGCATGCATGTGTGTTTTCATGTGTTTGCATGTGCGTGTATGTGTGTGTGCATGCATGTGTTTGTGTGTGTGTATGCATATATGTGTGTGAAGATCAGCAAGCAATCTTGGGCATCGACTGTCACTCCTCAGTTGCCATCCACCCTGTTTTTTACTTAAGATGGGGTTTCTCACTGGCCTGGAACTCACCTATTGGCTAGGCTAGTTAGCCAGTGGGCCCCAGGGATCTATCTCTGCTAGCTGGCCAGTGGGCCCCAGGGATCTCTGCCTCCCCAGCACTCCCTAGGGATTATAAGTGTATACCACCATGCACAGCTTTTTGTATAATGTGCGTTCTAAGGATTGAACTCAGGCTTGCATAGCAAGCTCTTTAACAACTGCGCTATCTTCCTGGCTCTCACCAGTCTGTTTATTTTCCCTAGGTACGGGTGTGACTGTCAATGCAGTGCACCCTGGTGTGGCCAGGACAGAGCTGGGCAGACACACCCACATGCACAACTCTACCTTCTCCAGTGCCACCCTTGGTGAGTCCCCTCCCAGTCTGGCAGCCCTTCACAGAGCCTTCTACCTGTGCCCTGTCAGCCAGGGTCCCAGGACCCTGCATTGGAGACTCTCTGGCTTAACATTTTTTTTTACCTTCTCTCCCTCCCTCCCTCCCTCCTTCCTTCTTGCCCCTCCTTTCTTCCCTCCCTCCCTCTTTCCCCCCTTTCCTTCTTCCATTTTGTTTTTCAGCATGGTCTCATGTAGCCCAGGCTAGACTTGGACTCACTATGTAGCTGAGGCCGGCCTTGAACCTCTGATTCTCCCACTTCCACATCCTGAGCCCTGGGATTAGGTGTGCGCCACCAGGCCTGGCTGCTGGCTTTCCTTTTTTCTGCTCCCTCCCATGTCTTCATGGGACAGAAGACGAGTCTCTGTTCCTTGTGAATCTGGCCTTAGATCAATGGGAAATAAACCAGAGCCCCATTGACCAGTAAAAGTCCTGATGTGGAGGGGAAGCCTTGAGCTGACTCTTGGAGTAAGACTGTGCACAGGATAATGCCCCTCCCCGTTTTGTGACAGTGTCTCACTATGTGGCCAGATTGGCCTTGATCCCCCTGCCTCTGTTTCCTGAGTGCTGGGATCACAGGCGTGCCTCACCGTCTTTGCTATCCCTTCCCCACTTTGGGTCTCAGTTTTCTTTTCTACATAGCAAGGATCATAGTGTCTGGGAGTCTCTGGGACTAGGTGAGTTCTCCCATAGAAGGACTTGCATAATGGCTGGCAAAGAATGTAGCTGAATCAATAGAGCCTTGTAACTAGTAGTTATAGCCTCAGAGAAACATTTAATGGGTGTGCACAGAGAATTTTAAGATGAGATTACCACCTGATGCATTCAACAAGTAAAAATTGAGGGCTGGGATGTAGCTCAGTGGGTAGAGTGCTTCACTAGCAGACAGGAAGTCCTGGGTTTGATCAGCAGCATCACATAAAATCGAGCGTGATGGGATCTGCCTGCAATGAAATTGAATGTGTTGGGATCTGCCTGCAATGAAATTGAGCGTGTTGGGATCTGCCTGCAATCCCAGCACTGGGGAAGTGAAGACAGGAGGATCAGAGGTTTAAGATCATCCTTGGCTATAGGTTCAAGTAGAGCATGGTGTTTGTGCCCTGAAAGTGTGGATGGACTGAGTGTTCTGTGCCTGCCCACAGGGCCCTTCTTCTGGTTGCTGTTCAAGAGCCCACAGCTGGCGGCCCAGCCCAGCACATACCTGGCAGTGGCGGAGGAGCTGGAGGGAGTTTCTGGAAAGTACTTCGATGGTCTCAGAGAAAAGACGCCAGCCCCTGAAGCTGAAGATGAGGAGGTGGCCCGGAGGCTGTGGGCTGAAAGTGCCCACTTGGTGGGCTTGGATATGTCCTGTGGGTCCCCTGGGAGGGGACAGTCTCTCCCCAGATAACCTCTGGTGAAGATGCATCACCAGAGCCACTGCCGGCTAAGCCTTTATCAGCCTTTAGGGGAAGAATGAATACTCTGAGTCTCAAAACCTGGAACTGACTGCCATGCCCATATCATCGTCTAGGGGCAGTGCTGGCACCGTTTGAATATCGAGACCAAGGATGCTGGCTGCTGTTTCCTCATCATCCTCTTGGGGCAGTGTTGTCCCTGCCTGAACTCAAGACAGGATGCTGGCTACCATTCTCTCTTTGTCTTCTAGGCAGCACTGTTTAAATCTCATTATCAAGGATGCTGGCTGCTGTATCCTCCTCATCCTCTGGTGGCAGTGTTGCCCACATATAAACGCCAGACCAAGGATGCTATGCACTCATTATCCTCTAGATGGAAGTGCTGACCCAGGCTCTTACTGTTTGCTGGCCACAGTGGATTGGATCACAAGTGGACACCTGACTCAGGGACTGGCTGGTACAGGGTGCCCTGTTGGCAGCTGGGGAGCTGGGCCATCAGGTGCCACCTTTGGGAATTGCAAAGGGGACTTGCTGATGGAGGAATCAGCCCCTCTGGTTGTGGGCAATGTAGAGAGAGTGCAGTGTCTGTGGTGGTGGACTGGTTGGTGGACTGTTAAGAGTGGGTTATCTGACAGGTATGGTTGAGTCATGGTTCTTTGTGGGGTCTTAGACACTTCCTGCTCCTCTCTGAGCCTTGGGTTTTGATTGTAAAGTGCACAGGATAGCTACCTCGTGGGATGTGGTCAGTAAGCACTTGGCTGACTCAGTGAAGGGCAACTGTGTGCCTCTTGCTTGCAAGTGTTTACCGAGGACCTCTGTGTTCCAAACACTGGCTGAGGTGCTGGGAGTCTGTGGAGACCTGATGTGGACTCTGCCTGTCTTGTTATCCTTCAATTGCTCAGGATAGAACGAAATGAAAACCTGGCAGGACCAGAATTGCTTGCGATCATTGGACCTTCCCTGTGGTAATTTTAATCTCAGACTGTCAGACTCTGTCTTTGATTATAATAATAAAGTGTTGGGTGTGGTGGTGCAAACCTATAATTTTAGCACTTGGGTGCAGGTGGGAGGATCAAGAGTTCAGTGCAGGTCATCCTCAGGTATGTAGTGTTTGAGGGCATCCTGGGCTACATGAGAGTCTGTCAAGACAAAACAAAAGTAATAAAATCTCCAATGTAGCTGAGTCGTAGGTTTTATTTTTTTTCCCGTGTGTGGGGAAATGGAACAAAGACAGCTTGTGTATTTAAACCTTTTAAGAAACTAAGACTTTCAATTATTACCAAGGCAGTAAGTCAAGCAGCAGTTTAGGCTTTGTGGGAATGGAAGGTACGTTTTACCATGTGGCAGTCTGTGTGTCTTAGGAGACTTACGTGTACGAAATGGGGTGGGAATATAGGGTGAGGCGAGTTAGACCCCAGTGAGTAGGTGATCAGAAAGCTCAGTGATCTGCACTGGAGAGATGGCTTAGTGGTTAAGAGCACTGGCTGCTCTTGCAGAAGGTCAGGGTTCAATTCCCAGCACCCACATGGCAGCTAACAACTGTCTTTAACCCTAGCTCCAGGGAATCCAATGCCATTTTGTGACCTCGCTGGCATTGCATGACCTGGGGGTCCTTACATACATGTAGGCAAAAACTCCATAAAATAAAAAAATTAATGAAAAAAAAGTTCAGTAATCAAGATTCAAAACCATACTTTGGATAATTGTTGAGGCCAGGGGTGTTATTCAATCTACATTTCCCAGAACAGCCCCAGGTGAGGCCGAGATCTGGCACAGATGTCAGCGGTGCCAAGGGGGAGGACTGGGGGCAACTCGAGACTACCCTCAGTTTCTTAAATGCAGTTGTTTCTGTTGGGACATCAAGCCTGAATGACCCTGGATGAGCCTGGGGTGTCCTGTCTCTGATAGGCAGCTTCCCACAGCCCCTGCTGATGTTCAACTCCCTGTTTTCTTGTCTCCCTGTGAGGGTGAGTAGGAGGAAGACTCATTCCTAACCACAGAACTGTGAGGAAGGGTGTTTCATTGAGGAGTAGGTCACAGAAGATTGATGGCTGTCTCTCTCTCTCTCTCTCTCTCTCTCTCTCTCTCTCTCTCTCTCTCTCTCCTCTCTCTTGCCCTGTGTTCCTGTTGCTCACTGATCTTTTTGAAACAGGCTCTTCCCTGTAGCCCCAGATGGCCTGAAATTCAGGCTGGCCTTGAACTCAGAGATCCACCTGCCTCTGCATCCCAAGTGCTGGGACTACAGTCCTGTGCCACCACGCCCTGTGGCATCCTCTCTCTCTCTCTGCTGGCTCCTCTGATGGTGTCAGCTGCTGTGGGGAGAGCTGCCCCATGGAGAAGTTTAGCTGATGTTTAAAGAGACCAAGATCTTCAGTCCAATGACCTGGAAGGAACTGAGTCAGGCCAGTAATCACTGAGTGACCCTGCTGTACTCTATTAGGAGCACGTTATAGGTCCAGCGGAGAGGAGTAGACTTCTAGGGTATGAATATCAGGAGGTGGGGATTGAGAGCAGACGCCCGAAGCCAATCAACAGTGGAGAATCTGTGTTCTGTCTCTCATCTCTATCATCCATCTATCAATTTATATCATCTGTCCATCTATCTTTTATTTATCATCTATCTTTATTGTATCAGTGATCTGCATCCATCCATCTATATCTCATCTACCTGCATACCATCTGTCCATCTACTACCTATCCATCATGGGCCCTCTATGCATTCATCTGTGTCATCTGTCCAATATCATCTGTCTGTTTCTGTCCCATCTATCAACTGTCTTGTCTATCATCTTATCAATCATTTTCTGTTTTTCTAAATGTATTGTGTATTTCTTATTGTGGGATCCTGGAAAAACAAATTTGAGAAACATTTCAACCTGATAGGTAGGCTGGGCATTACCTCAAAAATTATTGTTTCTCTACATGTGAAGGACTCACCTGGTTGGTTAGTTAAAATAAGAGCCAGGGTTGATGCATGCGCTAATGAAACAGGTGTTCAGGCCTCTGGGAACTTGCTCATATGAACTTGTAACAATGGTGTCAGCATGTACAAGACCCAGGCTGACTCAGACAAAAATTCAGCATAGTACTGGGGGAAATGGGCAGGAGGCCCCAACCTTAGCCAAGGAACTATTGGCAACTGATTACTCTGGGATGAAGGAGAGTAGATCTTTAAGGGAGTGACGCTAGATAGGCTGACTCGAAAGACATCTGGGTACAAATGCTTGACCGAATAGGACAACATTTATGACAGAATACATGAAATCGGGGGGGGGCATATGGGTCATGTATGGGGGAGGGGTATAAATTTGATTAAGATCTAGTATATGAAATACACAAAACTCAAAAACACATTAAGAAACGTGATAAGCTGGGCGTGGTGGTGCACGCCTTTAATCCCAGCACTGGGGGCAGGAGCAGGCGGATCTCTGTGAGTTCAAGGCCAGCCTGGTCTACATAGTGAGTTCCAGGACAGCTGGGGCTACAGGGAGACCCTGTCTCAAAAAGATGCTCCCCCCCAAAAAAAACCGTGATAAATATATAATCTAAAATTTACTATTTTATCCCATTTTGAATGTGCAGTAATGTCACACCACGTGGTTGTGCAACCATCATCACCATCCATCTCCACGGCTCTTTTAAGAAAAACAAACCGTAATTATTAAGAACTCTCAGGGCTGGGCATGTAGCCAGCCCTGGGATGGATCCCTTGCAGTGCATTAATCAAGTGCAGAGGCACAGGCCTGAAATCCCAGCTCATGGGAAGCAGAGGCAGGAGGATCCTCAGGGGGCTGGTGAGATGGCTCAGTGGGTGAAGGCATTTGCTGCCAAGCCTGACAACCCTAGTTCAGTCCATGATGAAGTCCATGATGGGAGGAGAGAGACAACTGCAAGTTGTCTTCTGACTTACGCATACTGCGGTGTACACACACACACACACACACACACACACACACACACAAAATGTAATACAAAAATGGTCATCCTCAGCTACATTGTGAGTTTGAGGCTAGCCTGGGCTGCAAAAAAAATCACCCAAACAAAGCAAACCCTCTCTATTCCTTCCACCTAGTCCTTGGCAACCAGTATACCAACATTCTACTTTCTCTCTCAAACGTGAGTTTGGCGTCTACATAGCTCATATGAAGGGAGTCTTAGAGTAGGTGTCCTTTTCTACTTGGCTTATTTTACTTAGCATATTGTTTTCAAGGTGCAAGGTGTAGTATGTGTGAGAATTTCATTCTCTGAGGCAGTCATACACCATTGTATTTACAGACTACCTTTAGTTTATTCATCACTGATGCACATCTGGGTCTGTCCGTGTCTGGGCTGCTGTATGGAAATGCCGCTATGGATGTGGGTATACAGCAGTGAACATGGGTGAGCAGATACCTCTGAAGTAGAGTCCTTTGGGTATATACTCAAGCGTAGTGTAGCTGGATCCTGTGGAAGGTCGATTTCTAGCTTTTTGAAGAACCCCACCAGCTTAAAATTTTTTTTTGAGGCTGAATTTCATTATGTAGCCCAAGCTAAACTTGAACTCTCAATCTTTTTGCCTAGCCTCTTTAACTCCTGCAATTACCACCAGCCCACCGGACCCCACTAATTCCACTGATGTTTGCAATCAAAACAACTAAAATATTTCTGTCACTAATTCCTCAATACCCTTTTACTTTACTTGGGGTGCACATTAATTTCTTCTCTTGTTATGACAAAACACCTGCCCAAAACAAAGAAGAGTTTGGGCTGGAGAGATGGCTCAGTGGTTAGAGCACTGGCTGCCCTTGCACGGGGCCTGGGTTTGATTCCCAGTACCTGCATGGTGGCTAACAACTATCCATAACTTCAGTTCCAGGGGAATCTGACGCCCTCTTCTGACCTCCACAGGCATTGCATTACATGGGTGCTCTTACGTACTTGCAGGCAATACACTCATAAAAATAAAAATAAAAAAAGGAAGAGTGTATTCTGGCTCTCATTCTGAGGGTGCAGCCGTCCGCTGTGGTGGGAAAGGCATGGGGACAGGAGCTTGAGGCAGCTGGTCATTGCATCTGTAGTCAAGCTGAAAAAGATAAATGCTGGTGCTTAGCGCTCTTCTTTGTACTTTTTACACTGTGTGTGTGTGTGTGTGTGTGTGTGTGTGTGTGTGTGTGCGTGCACGTGTGCATGTGTGCACACATATGTGGATGTGTGGAGGTCAGAGGACAACTTACGGGAGTTGGTTCTCCCCTTTCACCGTGTGAGTTCTGGGAATTGAACTCAAGTTGCCAGGCTTTTGAGCCACCGTGACAGCTCCATTTTCTCTCTCTTTTTTTCTGAGACAGGGTCTCCCTGTAGCTCCAGCTGGCCTGGAACTCACTATGTAGACCAGGCTGGCCTCCCAAGTGCTGGGATTAAAGGTGTGCGCACCGTGCCTGGCTGCACTTTCTCTCTTTTCAGTCTTGGACTCCAGCCTGTGACACAGTGCTGCCCACATTCATTATGGCGCCTCCCACCTCAGTCAAACCAACCTAGAAACTCCCTCACAGACATGCTTGGAGATTTGTCTTACTAGGTGATTATAGATCCTGTCACCACAAGGTGTTTTCCTTGGAAGCTGGAATTCACCCCAAAGGTCTTATAAGTCCGAATTCAAGTGGGGCCCAGGTTACCAGGGGGCTGATCAGTGGGCATTTGTCTTTAGTTAGGTGGCTAATTCCAACCACAAACCCTCATGACTCACATCTGCTTCCTTTCTCAAACTGTGAAACCTCAAATACCACAAAGAGTGTCAGCATAATCCCAAGGCTTTGAGATGACTCACAAACAGCAGCATCCGGAAGACGTGTGAAAGATGGTAAAATCTACTCAAAACAACAACAAAGCCCAGAGAAGAACTTGTGGGAAAGTGGTGACAGGACTCAGGAAGCTGGGCGAGGTGGTGCATCCCCAGAGTCCCACCACCGGGACAAGCCAGTCTGGGTTACCATAGTGAGATCCATCCTGTCTCAAACACTGGAAGCCAACCACACTGAAATGAGACAAAACCCCCAAAGAGATCTAGAATCCACCACAAAAAAGTTACTTTGGCTGCTCATCACAGAAAGGAATTGAAATTTGCATTAGGTTGTACCGCTCTTTGGTGCTGAGAAATTCTGTCCTGTTGTTTTGGATGACCAGCGACAACATTTAAAGGGTATAAACTTGGCATCTATCTATCTATCTATCTATCTATCTATCTATCTATCTATCTATCTATCTATCTATCTATCTATCTATCTATCATCTATCTATCTATCTATCATCTATCTATCAATCATCTATCTATCTATCATCTATTATAATCTATCATCTATCTCTTTAAAATATTTTATTTATAATTTTATTTTATGTGATTGAATGTGTTGCCTGCATGTTTGTAAGTGTGCTCGTGTCATGCAATGCCTGAGGAGGTCAGAAGAGGGTATTGGATCCTGAAACCAGAGTTACAGACATTGTTAGCCACCGTGTTGGTGCTGGGAATCAAACCTGGGTCCTCTGTAAGAGTAGTTGGTGCTCTTAACCACTAAGCCATCTCTCCAGCCCTCTCTTTACTTTAAAAATATTTATTTTTATGTATGAATGTTTTGCTTACGTGTATGTATTTGCACCACGTGTGTGCCTGGTGCCCTTAGAGACCAGAAGAGGGCATTGGATCCCCTGGAACTTTATTCAGGGAGCTGGTGATCTGAGAAAGTGGTGGATTAATACTCTAAAAACATGACATGGGTGTACTTACATCCATGCAGGCAAAACACTCATACACATAAACCCCCAAACAAATGGCCTTACTTCTCATCTCCAGCCAGCAGGTTATATAGGGAAGGTGGCAGAGGACAAAGGTAGTCAGTCATGTGGCGCTTCATCTTGTCCCTCTGGCCAGCTGGTCATCCATATTCCTGAGACTTGTGATGTCTGTGTCTCTCACACTCCTGCCCCATGCTCTGAATGTCTGGGCTCAGGTGCTTCTTGGAGCACCGAGTCTAGCTAGTGCATGCATGCTGTGCATGCGTGCTGTGCATGCATGCGTGTGTGTGTACATATCAAACCTATGCTCCAGGATCTTCTGGAGGGGTGGGAGCGTGCTGAATGAAGTCAACTCAGAACAAGTCAGGCCATTAACACTGTGTGTGTGATATATTATTAATAAGCTGTACCTGCAAATTCCTGACCACAAAATGGACTATGAAAGTAACCCTATCTGCTGGGCATGGTGGCACATGCCTTTAATCCTGTCACTTGGAAGGCAGAGGCAGGCGGATCTCTGTGAGTTCAAGGCCAGCCTGGTCTACATAGTGACTGGGACTACAGGGAGACTGTCACGCCATCTCCAATGGAGCCTGTGTGAGATCCTCCGCGGGTTGAGGCTGAAACTTCAAGGAAGGTTGCCTCTTGGAACTGGCAGTGCAAAGAAGATCTTCAGTGTACTTGGCTGTATTTTGCTTGCTATTATCTTTATGACTGTCATTCTTTTATGGGTATCTAGGGGACATGGACAGGACTTGGTGTCCTTGGCTTGGCTTCAGGGCTCGCCTCTTGATCAAAACCTTGATGTTGAGGATAAGGTCCTAGGAACCCGGTTTCCTCAGATGACCTTGCCTCCTGATGCACCTTTACTGCTTAAAGCTATAATAGAAGCTGCTAGAAATAATCAGTCATGGAATATCATGGACAGAATAGAACAAGCAGAGCTAATGATGGAAGATCCTAAAGATGATATATTTCCTATAGGACAGACAAGTCAGAGAAAAGACCCTAATTCTGGTACTAGGAGACAAGGTTACCACCAACCGTTATGACTGATTTTGGTCTGGCTTATGTTTTGGCAGGAGGTAGATTATGGCATCCACCAAAAGAAAAAGAAAGTATGTATAAAATTCCAGTACCTACGGATGAACCACTGCCTTTTACAGGAGCCTATGATAAGGAAGGGGGTAGATGGGTTAATATAGGAGGAAAAAGGATTTCTTGGTATTCATTACAATTCATGGACAGACTTGCCAGATCTAGGCCACCTTGGTACCTGCTTAGTAAGAAACAAAAGGAGAGCATACAGAGACAATTAAAAAATGTGTTTATTTCTTGGAGAGAAAAATGGGATAATTATATTTATAAGTCCCATACTTGAAAGGATTTCATGAGAGCTACAGGATTAGAATGGGATACTGATACTGCTTGGGGTTTGGGACAGCATAATGAACAGGGAAAAACAAAAAGCGGATATAAAGCAACAATATTGTAAATCACCTAAAATTCAAATAAAAATACTAATGATTACAGAGCTGATATTGAAAGCACATATTGGTTTGAGGTCATCTCACTGCGTAACCACAGAATATAAACTTTAAAGGTCTCTAATGTAAACTCACCAAAATAAAAAACAGAAAACTTTCTGTTTAACATTAGCTGATGCTTGTTAAGATAATAGCATACTTTGGCAATGTATTTTGATCGACCTGTGTTTCGCTTTTGTTTCTGAAATCAAAACTCTTAAAAAATGGTTAACCACAGAGCAGTGGCTTATTGATGTAATCATGTAACTTTGCAGTACTTAATTTGAGCACTGCAGCTGCAAAAATACACTCAGACCTTCACCAAACTCCCGTGTGTTTGTCTGTTTGTCATTTGCTGAATCCTTGTCCACTCTTTTGGGGACCCTGCTCCCGTTGGACTGAACTGCTCCGGTCTGTGCTGGTTGGTTGCAGGTGGCACCCAAACAGGGACCCTTGAAGGGTAAGCTATCCCCCTCTCTTTCTTTTCAAATCTCCTTTTCAGGCAAGGATAGGACCTTGTCAGAGTGCTGCAGGCTCACTGGTAAAGGATCACCAGGTTAAGAAGACGAGTAAGTAAAGTATCATGGGGCATTCACAATCTAAGAATAGAGCCTTGTTCTTGTCAATTTTGAGTCATATGTTGGAATCAAGAGGTAGTAAAGTCCCCAAAAAAAGTTTGGCAGAATTTTATGATTTTTTTATTAAAGGTCAGCCCTTGATTTCCTGAAGAGGGCAGTCTCTCATTAGTAGATTGGAAAAAAGTATGTCGGGACATTCGTAGATATTATGAACAGCATGGTCCAGGGGAAGTTCCTGTCCCGGCCTTTCCAATTTGGGTCCAAATTTGGGATCTACTTTCTGATAAAACGGAAATGGAGTTTCTCATCAAATAAGCCCCTTCTGAGGGAGATGAGGCAATTCCAATAAATTGTAAAAAAGATAAGAATAAGACTTACAATACTAACAATGTTGCTGATAAGAGTTATAATAAATCTAGCAGCAGGAGTACCAAGCCAATAACATCAAAATTTGACCCAGATGATGATTGGCTAGAGGATGGTGACCAATGGGATCTAGATAAATCAAGGCGCCCATTATCACGATGATGATGAAGACCCCCCTGAGGAAGATGATCCCTTTGCCTCTGCAATCCCCATTCCTAAAAGAAAACAACCTTTAGGAAAGCACAATATGGGTTTTCTGGGGGCCATGCAAGAGGCACATAGAAATGGGGATCTCTCATTTTGTTACCCATTAACAGTGTTTGACAATGGACCTCTATGTGGGAACCTTTGTCATTGAAAACACTTAAGGAATTACAGACAGCAGTTAAGGATATGGGGTCCTCATCACCATATACATTACAAATTGTAGAAATGATTGGTAGTATGTGGTGGACACCTTATGATTGGCAGCAAACAGCTAAATCAGTGCTGTCTACTGGACATTATATACTATGGAGAACTGAATATGAAGATGCCGCCCGAGAGCTAGTGCAAAAATCAATTTAAAAAAGAGGAGACAAGCCTACAATGGAGATGCTAATGGGAAGAGGTGTGTTTGCTGCACCTCAAGATCAAATCAATATACCAAAAACCGTACTGGAAGATATTTCTAGATTGGCAGTAGCAGCCTGGAGAAAGCTTCCAGAAGCAGGTGGTACAACCACTGTTCTTTCTGGAATTAGACAAAAACAGAAAAAACCTTATGAAGAATTTATTACAAGGTTGGAGGAAGCTTTACAGAGAATGATGCCTACCTCTAAAGGGTCAGAAATACTATTAAAACAGTTAGCTTGGAAAAATGTTAATTCTCTTTGTAAGAAATACATCAGACCTATAAAAAAGACAGGTTCTTTACAGGATTATATAAAAGCTTGCATAGATGCCTCACCAGCAGTGGTCCAAGGAATGGCCTATGCTGCAGCAATGAAGGGACAGCATTTTAGTGCCTATATTCAGAATCTTAAAAGCAGGCCTAAGACCAATAATGAGGGGGTCTGTTTCTCATGTGGAAAGCCAGGTCACATGAGTAGAGAATGTCCTAGTAAAAATAAAAGGAACAATAATGGAGAGAGAAAACCTCGTAATAAGGGAGGACCTCCTGGGATTTGTCCTAGGTGCAATAAAGAAAAACATTAAAAGAATGAGTGCAAATCAAAGTATCATAAAGATGGAACCCCTCTTGTCCAGGAGCCAGAGGAAGCAAAAAATGAGAAAGGGGGCAAGCCCTCAGCCCCCTAAATGAAAGAAGGACCATTGAAGAAAATGGTAAATTGAGTTCCCCTAGTTCCACTTTAAATCTTTTGGCACAGCCATTTACTATTCATGATTTGCCAAGAGCCACACAAGGAAGTGCTGGCCTGGACATAGCTTCTAGAAAGGACTATATTTTATTCCAGATGGACAGGATCCAAACCATAGAAACTAATGTGTTTGGCCCTCTGCCTGTTGGCACTGTAGGACTCATATTAGGAAGAAGTTCTAATTATAAGAAAAAATTTGAAGTAATACCGGGAGTCCTTGATTCAGACTCCATGGGGGAATTCAAGATACAAATTAGGCCATTAAAAGAGACAATTCAAATACATAAAAATCAGAGAATAGCTCAGATCATATCTTAAATTATGTTAACTTACCCAACCCTGTTCTTAAACAAGATAGGGGAACAGGAGGATTTGGGTCAACTGACCTAATAGCCTAAAATCAGAAAATAACCTTAGATAGGCCTTATAAGATCATATTTGTCCAAGAAAAACCAATAAGAGGCATTTTGGATACAGGAGCAGATAAATCCTGCATAGCAGGAAAAGATTGCCCCACTTCTTGGCCTCTTTCCCACACCTTGTCTACACTAACAGGTTTGGGAATGGCTCCAAATGTAGCCCAAAGCTCTATACTGTTAACTTGGACATGTGAAAAATAAGAAGGGAGTTTTCCAGCCTTATATTATTCCTTTATTACCTTTCTCCTTATGGAAAGAGACATAATGCAAAATATGGAGCTAAGACTTGGTACAATAGAAAACTTTGAGACAAGTTTTTCATAGGGGCCACTGATGAGTTATATACAGATAACATCTCCTAAAAATCTGGTCAGCCTGTATGGGTGGATCAGTGGCCCCCTACATTAGAAAAAATACAGGCTGTAAAAAATTTAGTAAAAAAACAGCTAAATAAAGGACATTTAGTAAAATCAACCAGTCCTTGGAATACACCTATATTTGTCATCAAGAAGAAATCCGGTAAGTGGAGACTATGCAAGATTTAAGAGCAATAAATAAAACCATGCATGACATGGGGGCTTTACAGCCTGGTCTGCCTTCACCGGTGGCAATCCCCTCTGACTTATTTATTATAATTATAGACCTGCAAGATTGTTTCTTTACAATACAATTAAGTCCTGAGGATTCTCAGAGATTTGCTTTCAGTGTTCCATCAACTAATTTAAAACAACCTTTTCAAAGGTATCAATGGAAAGTACTTCCCCCCAAAATAAAGAATAGTCCAACTTTATGTCAAAAATTTGTGAATAAAGCATTAAAAGGTACTAGAACTAAATACAAGGATGCTTATATAATACATTATATGGATGATATTTTATTGGCCCATAAAACTAAAGATTTTACAGAATCAATATTAAAAGATATGATTTGATCATTAACTAAATATGGTCTTATTATAGCTCCAGATAAAATACAATATAATAGGCCTCTGCACTATTTAGAAAAGGTCATTGGTGAGCAAAAAATTATCTCACAAAAAATGAGTATTAAAATAGACAAAAGCTTTAAATAATTTTCAAAAACTATTAGGAAATATAAACTGGGTAAGACCTTATTTGAAAATAACTACAGGAGAATTACACCCCCTATTTGAATTATTAAAAGGAGATGCTAATCCTAAATCATAATGCCAATTAACCCCAGAAGCTTTGGAAAAAATAATATTGGTAGAAAATAAACTACAGACAGCTAAGATAAAAAAGTTGATTTTAAAGCACCATGGGAATTAATAATAATAAAAGC